CCAAGACATTTTCGGCAGCCAACCTGACAAGCTGGTAATAATGCCACTCTTTCTGACGGCCACAGTGGTGAGTGATTCTCATCAACCGATTAGAAAAAGTTTTATTAAAAATAAAAGAAATGCTACCACAATTAGATGGTAAATGACTTGTCTAATGGAGAAGGACATCCCCCCTCACCATAGTGGGTCCTTCTGAGCAGCATCCTTTAGCTGAAAAAGCTGCTACCTTTAGGCCTGCTGCTATCTGACAGGCATCTGCCTGAAGCAACCAGGCTGTCAGGTTTCTGCCATTCAGTCAGATCAATCTGCAGGACAGCTGCCTTGTTTTTTTTAAGAGAGGAAACACAGGTGTACTGTTGCTCTTATCGGCAGAAACACAGTTCTGCTGCTGGCTGGAAATCTCTTATCTCTTAAGAGTCAGCTGTCAAAAATGAAGGCGAATAGCCTTGATTTGTCCTTGACAAAGAGTGTTTAGGAGGCAATGCCTACACATAAACAGTGACACAGAATGATAAGGTTGTTAATTTGAATCCATAAGGATGAGACAATCCTCAATAAAACATGTTCCTTTTTCAAAGCTCTTTGTCTGAACTCTGCAGTCTGTTAAAACCTGGTTATTTCTTTCAACAATGATCCTCTTGACAATGAGCCTCTAAAACATCCATTAAATCTGGCTTTAACTAGCAGTGCCTCTTGAGGAGACATATGTCTGTGTGGTCCTTTGTCATGGAAATAATAAAGGCAATATAGCCACCCAGAACCCCCACCAATCTGTCCAGCTCTGGACAGGAAGACATTAGCTATCCAATGCAGCATGCTGCTGATCTGGCTTTCTCTCTCACCTGCTCAGATCTTCAGGAGACTCCAGCTGAATGCAAGAACCATAAAAAAAGGCAATATTGCATTTAACTGGACACTAGGAGGGAAGGAACACCAGTATTAAAAAAGGCCTCCTTAAGGGGTCAGCAAGGTTGAATCTGCTCAGAACATTTTATGTATCTCATAGAATTTTATATTTTCTTGATCACATTTAATTTATGTATAAAAGTATGTGACTAATTAAAACAAAGGTCAAATATTAGACCCATTTTGAATGTATTTGAATGTGATTTAATGGGAGCAAGTAAGGTTTCAGAATAGATGCTATGTTTTTATACTGCTTCATTTCATTGGAAACTATTGTAATTTCAACTTTCCACATCTTCAGTAACTCTAGCTTGTTTATAACTAGACTCCTTTATTAATAAGCATATTAAGGATTTAAAGAGTAATAATTAATACTACCGTAAATTATTTAAAAAAAAAAAGCAAAATAAATTAAATTTGATAAACCTTGTTGATTACATGATGAGCTGAATTGTCTTAGGATGCTGATGAAGACCTTTGGATCCGAATGGCTTATTTCAATAACACAGTGCAATCAATATTGAATATAGGTGTCATCCATTTAACTTTGGACCCATAATAACAAATACAAAGAAAGGGTGTTCAGTCAATATCGTCCAAGAAAATAAATACGTATACATTTAATCTGCTTCAATTATGAACCCATAACCTCCTGGTCCCAATTCCTCGCTGAGGCATCAATGGCAATGATGACTTGTTATTAAGCCAGAGCTTATTACTACTGAATAGGGATTTGTTTAAAAGCAGATCTCTTGATTATGTCTTCATGCAATTTAGATTTAGCTCATAGACTAATGGGCTTTAACAGTGAGTCCAGTTAGGCTTGACAGTTTGCCTTTTGCCTTCAAAGATTTGTATTTACATGGTAGGTCTTTATCACACAATTTCAAAGACAAATAGATTAGAAAATCCCTTTATTGTCCCACAATGGGGAAATCTCTCTTTGAATATGATAATATGAATGCTTTTCATCTTCCTATGTGTATTTTGCATTAATTATTTGCATTAATTTAAGGGTATGTAAAAACATGGCAGCAGATTTTACACCTTTAATATCTTTAAGAGCTGCAGCTTAAAATTAATGAGCGGACGACAGACTCTGGGATAAAACAGGAAAGAGGGGAGTGTTATGAACAACTGATCCATTAATAATTGATAGGGAAGCAAATATGCTGGCCTTGACAGAGCTGCTCACAGGGAGCTATGCCAGTGCATGACTTTATGAATGGAAAAGGGTGCAAAATAACTTGAACACTAGAGGGCAGCAGCGAGTTTATGCAAAAGACACCTCTGAGCAATAACAGCATTTTCAAAAGGTTTAAAGTCAGCACAGCCTGGTAGGACATTTAAACACACACAGGAAACCCTGAAAATACAGAGTAGTCTGACACATAGTGGTTGAATTTACACTCTCCAAGCCACAAAAACAACAGCAGATCTGCATCATCCCATCCTGTAAATAGGCTCTGGGTGCTTCCCTCTTCCTCCTCCTGCTGCTCTTGCTGCATTATGGCTTAACCCTTTGTTAAAGGTGTACGCAACATGCAAGCCAACTGGGCCGTCCAGCTGGGTGTGTGAGCTGCCGCTTCTCTTCACCACCTCTTCCCTAATCCCTCAGATAACTACTGGCTTACCTTGTCAGTACTTAAAGGTGTCATGTCCAACTCGTTTTATGTTTCCTGCTTGACTTTTCTTAAACATCTTCTGTCATTCAGCTGCTTAAGCCACTGGGTTGCTGCATTTTCTGTAACCATTTGACCAAGATATTTTAGAGCCCTTCATGCTTCATGGAGGTGATTTCATTTCCAGCAGGGCTTAAAACCTTCAGACAATGTCAAGTGTACCAAACAGAAGATGAGAGACCCTACAGTGCAGATGACCTGATAATTAGAATACAGTATCATTTATATATATATATATATATAACAATAGACTGTACAGTACATTTTAAGTTTACCTGAAAGTTTTGCCTTGTTGGATACATTTTGAATAAGACGCTTCTAAAGCTAGTTGCTGTTCACCAGATAAAGATGGGCTGGGATAGAAATGTGCACAAGAATGTGCCCCCTGGTTAGAAAAACAACTCAAAACCTCAGCCCACACCTATTGGGTAACTGTGCTGAATGGAAACCTATTTGTGGCTTTTGTGGGAGCCGAATCTCCCCCTCCACCTCCTCAGCAATTGGAATATCAGTATTCTCAACAGGACATCATATGTACAGTAGGCTAAGAGCAGTGGTTTTTAACCTTTATAATTCTTTATAGTTTTTTGACAAGGGAATCAGCAATTGGAAATGGATAGAAGAGGAATAAGTAATAGATCCCTTATTGCTCCTGGTGTACCAACTTCAAATGTGCCCCATTTTATCATTTAAAACGCTACTCACGCTGTGCTAAGCACTGGATGCTGAGAGGAAATGACAGAGAGATGGGAGAACAACACTGCAGGGTTACTTTCATGCTTGCAATTCTTTGTTTGCACTACTGAATAAAACTGACAATATAAAATTACTGATATTGGGGTTCTCAAAATTATACTACAGTCTTGCCATTTGACTAAAACTGCTTCTCCTATCATTTATTTTTTGCTTGTAATTTCTAAAGAATTCTTAGACTCTAACTTAAGATTCCTCCTGCATGTGTTAGAACTACAAACACTATCCTAAATATGTGAGTTCAAATGAATCAGCTTTCAAATATCTCTTGACATTTCAAACAGACAAACCAGCATGTTGCCCTTATGAAACGGGGCATAAGGAAACTGATATTTAACACTTTTCTGCAGCACCCTGGACTTTTCTACATCCTTATCTCTTGCTTATTCATAGACAAGATATACTTGAAAGCTACCCAGGTAGCAATGCCACCTTAGCACATAACAACATACCTTCAGTGACATTGTCGTAAGCTCCATTTGGATCGCAAAAAAATATGTGGACCAAACAATCAAACTCCCTTAACTTCTTTAGCAATACTGCAAAAGTAAGAATTTTTATAAGTATATAAGAAATACAAGCATCCTACACATCTCCAGAGAGCTCCCTCTTCTAACACAGCCCTCAGAAAAGATTTGGTTTACATTCAGTACCTATACAGTGTGAACATCATTTTGCTGAGGCCCTCTGCATATAAGAATGTTTTATTTTTATTCCCACTGGTTTTAGTTCAGTGACTGCCTGTAGCCGCAGCCCAAATATAAGAAAAATTAGATATCAATGCTGGACTGGATACAGCTCAGGACATGACTGCAATATTCAGGTCACTGCCACTGTTCACAGGGGTCAGGGTTAACATAGCCAAGGGTGACGAGGGGTGCTTCATCAGCACCACAGGGATGAGGAGGAGGAGAGAAAGGTGGACAGAGGGGGGGGAAGTCAAGAAAAAGTAGGTCAGTGAGAAAATGTGATTAGCCACAAATACAAACCGCAAACTCATCCCATGTCCAGAGACACTGGCCTCCTGTATCTTTAACCCAGCATGCGTCCAAGATACGTCACGCTCAGAGTCACACTTACTGGACAGGTTGGCAGGCATGCACAAATACAGACAGAGAAACGGCTTGTTCCCCTTGCTTCCTTACATGGTGTTAGAGCGATCCCTCTTGCCATTGCAGTCCCTTTGCCTGGGGTTGCTACGCACAGCCAATATTTCACAAACACAGCAAAACAGTCACCCTGATGTCCCACTGTGCTTCCATCCTGGACAGCAGCGTCATTGCCTGGCTCAGATCTAGGTTCTGACTTACAGAGCCCTACACAATTCAGTAAGGCTGCAATGATCTGAGATCATTTACAGAACTCTTATAAAGGATTCATACCTGAAACAGCTGTACCTGTAAACAAGTCTTTTCCCATATTTATTTTTGATGTAATTTTAGTCTTGTCTCAAATTTTTATCTTATCAAGCAAGGGAAGACAAACTAAACCTTAAATAATTTAAAATTGTGTATTTTATTTGCAAAACTGTTAATCACCATTTTTTGCTTTGCAAATCTACTAATCACTAAACAAGACCCAACAAAAGGTCAACAAAACAAGGGAGTAGGTTGAACAAGATGTAGCAGGTGTGAATAGTTTGGACATATTTGTCCTGACCTGAGGATTTCCAGCTGCCTCGGACTCCGGAGCATTTCTTGGGGGTCTTGAGGACACCTGCTGGCTCACTGAAGGGAAATGGCTCTTGAGAGGCACAGAAGACAGAGGTAAAGCTGATGGTCTGGTTGGGGCCTGGGGGATGGGAAGGGCACTGTGAACTGGTTTGGGTTTGGGGAGTCCTGACTTCATCTTTGAGGCCACCAGAATGGCTGGCATCTTCTCCTCCAGTCCAGAAAACGATCAAACCCCACTCCCCCACCCCTATCAGCGAGAAAGAGATCCTGCCAGTTGTCAGATAAAAATTCTCGTTGTAGCCAGTATGAAAAAAGCCCACCGTGAGGCTGCACCTGATCGATGTCTTGACTGAGGTGCAAATTATCCAGATCTTGGCTGCTTTTGTTGGATCTCTGCCGAGAAGTACGACAACCTTGCCAACATGCAGTGCAGTGTTTAAACCTTAAATGTCCACCTGTTTCCCATTATCAAGCAGCTTAAGCTCTCATAACATAGTAAATGTCCAAGGCTTTCTGGAAAATACCATGAATTTGACAGGATGCCAGCAAGCAAATCCTAATTCCCACCTTGAGGAATTCCCAGTTGCCTAGAAGCGATACAAGAGATTCCCTCCACAAACCTCCAGCTCAGATTAAGAGTCAACATTCAGCCAAAGAATCCCATCAGAAGGCGAGCAGTCCCTTATCATCCATGCCTTGTGAATAATGTCTTTGCCTCTGGACAACAGAAGGGAGGACGTGTTTTGTTAAGAAGAACAGAGCAGAAACAGATGGAGGAAAAAGGAGCAGCGATGCAGCGACTGCTTGCTTCAGCGACTGCTCCGCTTGTGACAGCACAGCCTGAAAACACCCCACACTCTACTCCACTGCACTCTCTCCCTCTCTGCCCAGCAGCAGGTGTGGCTTAGATCAGACTGACATATGTGAAGACAGGCTCAACAAATACTGGTGGCATCCAGCCTGCCGCTCGCTTATCCTGTTTTTCTTAACTACTCTTTGAAATATTCCCATTTGTAAAGCATTTAATTCTACATCAGAGTTTGAAAACTACCACTACCATTTACCAATTGGCCACTGGGGATCTGGAAGTTATGGTAAAAAAGGCTTACAGTGGGATAAGTTGCTTTCAAGAATCCAATTCCTTGTATAAATCAGCAGTTTTCTTTCAATAATTTTGTTTAAAGCAAAGATATAAAACAATTATATGAAAAAAGTCACAAAATAGTTTGACCTTAGGTCTAATGTCCTCTATCAAATAATAACATTAACACAAGCATTAAAAAACATTTGGTATAGCTGTATTGAAATATGATAGCCTGAAATTGGCTGAAATAATTTTCTGTAGTTCCATCCTGTTCTTACATCATTAGGATTCGTCTTCTCCATGTGAGGATGGCCAATTAAAGAAACAGTGTTGGACCAGCCTTATTCCCAGCAGGGCATGAAAGGCTGTAAAGTTTTGACTCAAATCTTAATGCAGTGCTTGAGGAAAAAGCTAAGGAAATTGTGGACAAAAAATTAAAGAAATAATCTTAACTCTCAACAAAATACCTGCAAAATGCAGGAAAGAAAATATCAGCATATTTGGTGTCAAATGCATGAGGTAGAAGAAAAAACAGATGGAATTTCATTCTACTTGCACATAGTAGAGAGCCAAGATATATAGATGTGGGCCATAAAAGCTAAAAATATAACTATTCAGAGTTCTTAAAACAGAATTCATAGAAAAATTCAGAGGAAAAATAGACCCAGCATTATGCTAAATAATGGTTCTTCATTGTTTAAGAGGATGTAGTGTTACAGAAATTTGGTGAGAGTTTCATTAAATGTTTCACCAGTGCTAGATAGACATGGCAGTTGATGAGTTTGTTATAAGATGGCAAAGAGATTGCAAACTGGAGTGTTGAGTAAATGCAACTTGTTATGTCTGCAATATTTCACTCTTCCTTTTACCTAAATATTTCACACTGGCGACCTTTCCAGAGTATATACCACCTTTCTCACCAATAGACTGCTGGAGATAAAACCAACAGTCTAGTAGCATGCCCCGGTGACCCTGATGGATAAGTGGTAGAAAATAGATGAATATTTTATTAGTTGAAAAAGCAATTTTTTAGTTGCTTATTGAAACGTGTCATCAATGACATGGAGTAAATAATTAATTACATATATTTTTCTTGAGTTTGGAGAGCAAACCTGTCCTGGCACATGCAGGTAATATCTGCTCAATATGGTATCTATGAAAAAGCATGTGAGGAAATAATAAAAAAAAAAGCAAGAAAAAAAGATTCCTAAAAGTAAAATCGATAGAGAAAAAATGTGGTCCTTTTCGTTCAACACCTGACTGCCACATCACAGTAGCTAAATGAGGACCAATGTTTATCTCACTGGAGAGATAAACATTGATTCTGTCTGATGCAAGAGAACTGCAGCGAAGAGCGATATTGTGGGATGATTAGTTCTCTACAGAGAACAGACACTATCAGCATCATGAACAATTGCTTGGCCAGAATAAAAGCCTTTCTTCACAAATGTAAAAATCTGTAGTTTAACTTTTTTGGGACTTTATCTGCGAATATGTACTTAGGATAGAACAGATAAATTGAGCATGACACAAGGTTTCACATCCTGATAGCTTTTTGTATCTAGACAAGATGCTCAAACTATTGAGAGAGCTCACAGCAATAAGAGGTTTCAAGCTAAAAGAAATATACATGTTTATATATAGAAAATGCATTTTAAAGAGGTCATCAACAGGAAAGCTGACCTTTTAATGTTAAAATGTGTGTGTTGGTGTTAGGTTGCAATCAATGCCTGCTGGAAAAAACAGGATCCGACAGTTGATGTTGTTTCTTTTATAACTTTTTGACTTTTTGTGTAGGAGGCTGGGAAACAGTGGTAAATGAGCCATGACAAACAGCTAATGCTGCCCACTCTACTGCACATCCATATGAATCTATAAAACACACAGCTCCAATTCTCCTGGGTAAAATCATGAAGAAACAAATGGGGGTATGAATGAGTTCTACTAACATTATTTTTAACATTACTTTAAATCCAGTCTCAGAAGATTTTATAAGTAAAATATAAAGTCAAATAAATATATAAAGTTTTTTAACATTTCAAAAGTCACTCTTATATACGTTGTTTAAGTTTTTGTTACTTTGCCTATTTAGTTCTGAAAATGAATTTTTGTTTTCAGGTGCTTGTTTAAAAAAAAAATAAAATACATATATATATATATATAAAAAAAAAAAATAAATATAAAAAAATATATATATATAATTTTTTTTTCAGGATATATATTTAAACCTTGGCACTATTCTACTCAATTCTATGGTGTAGGAGGGCATCAGTTGAAAGAGGTCTTAAACGACGTAACTTGCTAAAATTAGCTCACCTTTAATGGTTTATGCATAAAACACTCCAAGAAAAACTATAACATACTACATATAAAGGTGAAAACAATTAACAGTGTTAAAGTCTGTTTCTTGTTATTTACGTTTTAAAATAAAGAGATCATTTTGATTCATCTAACTGTAGCTGTTAGATGAAACACCTTTAAGCACTTACTCTCACTACAGACTTCATGGGAGCAGGATGAATCCAGGGGAGGCCTGTTTAGTATGCTAAGCTTAATCCTGTTATATTAATCCCAAATTATGCTAAAGCAAATATCTGATTATGGTTAAGTGCCATATTGGGCCTATGAGTGTATGTGTTTACTGTGTGTATTTAGATTTTATTTAGGAGTTAAAGGGCTGCATAATTCAACCAATCCGTCCAGTCCTCGCCAAACCAATAACCTAAAACCTATATAAAAAAAAAAGAGTGAACTCTTCTCAAGATCATGTTTTGATGTTTATGTTTAGAATGAAGCCTTACATTTTTCAGTGTGTAACCACAAACTATAGGTATTTCTAGTGAGACTAATGATTACATGCACCCTCTGAGCAAATCTGCTACAATATACTTTGCCTAACTTTGTTTACTACTCTGCAAGAGGCCCATGCTGTATATAACCATAGATCATGACCACTGGAGATGATTAACAAGCAACAAGGCCTCCCTGATTCAAAGCACCCATATCGTGACAGCAATCCACAGTTCTTTGAAACATATAGGAAAATACATTAACTCCACCCTGGCTGCCTCAAATGTCATTCTCTCATTTGGAAAATGGAAAAGAGAAAAATCATACGTAGCATAACAAGGGAAATTTCCATTATTTTCCTTCCCCCTGTGATGATAAACATATGTCAGACCCACGTGGATCACAGAGCTCCACTTCACAAAGTCAAGGGGAAAAAAAGCAGTCAAATGTGATTTATGCTGCAACCTTTGAAGATACCTGATGAGAGTCCGGTGGTGTCTAATAATAGAGCCTGTTTGGCAGTAAATGGGCGGTATTGACAGTAATAAGTAGGACACCCACCACTGTGCTCTGCTGTATGTTTATACTGTATTTCTTCCCAGAATAATAAACATTCATGTGGGGTAGATGGTGGGTGTTTGAGTGAACTGAAGTCAGATTCACGTCAACTGAGATTATATAGGAAACCTATAGGGGGCATTCTTAAATATGCATATCTGGGAGTGTAGCCTTATTTTACATGCCAAATGCATCGTGGTTACAAAATGCCAGGAGATGTGGCATGTAAAGATAAAACACTGTATACCAAAACTTCACATGCAACATATGGAAACACATAGAACAACTTCTAGTAATATAACCACCACTGTTCAGTTTGTTAAAGTTTAATTTTCCTTAGAGGGGTAACATCAAGTCAAAATGTTGAAAATTTAGGCTTGGTCCAAATCATCACAGAGAGATTTATGCTTATATTATCTTTCAAACTGATTTTTTCTTTTTTTTTTTTTTTACTATATTAAATCTTGAAGAGACTCTGAAAAAGCTGTTCAACATTGTATGTATTTTTAAGATTCTATACATAATAGATTAAATTTGATCGTTTCCCAGCATTTGATTAACTTTGAGATACAGATAAATCAGCCTGTGGGCTGAAAGAGCTAAGAATAAAGTTCGCTATTATTATTAATATAAAGGAGAATGATAATTATTGCAAGATAAAATATGAGATCCTTTCCATTAGGATAATGTTTGCACAGAAAGTTGCCTTCTTCTCTCCCTACAATAAAAACGCTTTTATTTCCTACTAAAAAGAAATGGCTATTACAATGCTTTTTACAATACCGTGATAACATCTGGTAAAGATGCAATTTTCAAAAAACAAGAGAAGAAAGAAAAGGCAATATTGGCTTAAGATCCCAGAAGGGTTGTAATCAAGCCTTTCTAGTCTATAGCTGTTTAACTAAACATTGTCTTTCATACTGGGAAATGCTGGCATGTTAGTGTTATATATTACATAATCAACCTCTTTAAGTCAAAATTGGGGGGGTCTCTGTCTTTGTAAAGCATTTGTGTTTTTTATTTGAGAAAAAAAGTGGTGAATAAATACTTCCTCATTTGTAAAATGTATGGACAATAGCAAAGCATCTCATGGTGAAACAGTGAAGATTTTATTTTAATTATGCGTTATTTTTCCTATAAAGCCATTCATATTTATTTTTCATCCAAAGGTACACATTTATATCCAGCTGCTGGATTAGGAATAACATTAAAATTGGATCTAGTTTCTTTGCAGCAAACTTTATCCATCAATACCCCCCAACCACCATTTAAGACAAAGCATTTGAGTGTTTATGTATCATAAATTTCATGAATTTGCAGACACACATGCAAACACACACACAATGACACAT